ATTCTTTGTAGCTTCCGTCAACATTTCGAGAATGGTTTTGTTTTGGGGGTGCACATCCCTTGCTGTGATGTCGTGGGATGAGAGTTTACTGTTTGGGACCCCTTCCCTTCCTAAGCAGTGTCCTCTGGGAGTGGAGTAGCTCAGTGGAACATGCTGGGGCAGACGCCACAGCCACAGCTGCAGTTCTGGCATAGTGAGAAGAACTGCGGCTTTGGAGCAGGACGATCGATGGTTTGGGCCTCAGCTCTGCGACCATGCGCAAGCCGTTTAACTCTATCCATTCTCTAACCACCTCTTTTCCTCATGAGAAAATAAATGGATAAAATAATATCTTGGAAGGAGTCTCATGAAGTAATGTCTTCAGAGTATCCTACAAGCGAGGAAATTATAAATCACTTTCATGGATCCTGCCATCTATGTAGGGTTTGTTTTTTTTTTTTTTTTTTTTTCTGCTTTTTTTGAGGATTCCTGGACATATTGAGCTGACCTTAACTTTGCATTCAGACAGCAATCTGTAGTCTCAGCGGGCCTATCCCTCTGCTTCTCCTAAGTGGCAGTGGACAGAATATGGGCTGGATACTCTGTGCCACATATGGACATCTCTGGCAGAACTGAGCGGAGCCATGCTCCACAATGGGCAGTGCCTGTCTGCCTGTGAGGTGGTGCAGGGCAGCTGTGTAGGAGAGGTGGAGTCTGGCACTGGAGCGTGCCATTGGAATCCCGGCTCCAATGGGCGCATCCTTTAACCTCTTCCTCCCAGCATTCGCCCCCAGCACTCATAATTTCCATCTATAAGGTCACAACAATTGAAAAACTTTGAAGTGCTGAGCCCAGTGTCCAGCATGTAGGAAGAAACTTGGCTCATGTTATAAGAATTACTACATTTCATTGTGCTAACATGCATGTTTTAAAACTTAACCATCCTAACCGTGCTTGCATGTACACGTCAGCAGTGTTGAGTATTTGCATGGTTGGACAATTCCCCAGAACTTTCTTGTCTTGTAAATTGAAGCTTTATCCATTCAGTGACCCCCATTTCCATCTTCCTGCACCCCTGGCAGCCTCCAACCAACTTGGCTGTTTCTAAGGATTTGGCTGCTCATGCACCTGGAAGTGGAATCATATGGGCTTTGTCTTGTTGCTCCTGTGGTTAAGCGTGGGCCCAGTTACATCCTCTCCAGCCCATAGCTTTCTGTAGGCTCATCATTGTCTGCTTTTTCAAACCGCAGTTCTGGGTGAATTAGTTCTTGTCTTAAAGGAACAAGATGACACTCTGAAACCTCATTTCAGCCTTAAGAAAAGGGGGCAGAATTAGAAAAAAAAAACAAAAAGATCCTTAAAGGAGGTATAAAGAAGTGGGCGTGGGCATTAGGTAAGGAAGAGACCCTTCCCTCATGGCAGAATGGAGCCCACAGAAAACCTATAGGAAAACAGAGACCACCACCACTATCAGCCCCTAAGGACATGTCACTCAGATTCAGCAGTTCTCTTGGTCTTGTAAGATTCCATTTCTAACACAGCCCAGGAGTAAAGAAATACCTTGAAAATGGAGATGACTGCAGAGGCAACTTTGTTTTGCTCATTCATGTGGTGGTATTTATCTCTGGGTTGCGACTTCTGGGTGGAGGTCAGGAGGAGGCAGGGCTGCAGGACAGTGGGCAGGTCATTTACCTTGCCCTCCTCCTCCCTGATGGAGAGCACCTGTGGCTCCTAAGGGTGGCTGGAATGGAGCACTTGGCATGGGGCCAACCAGCGAATAAGCGGTCAGGTGCAATGTCAGCAGGCAGTGGTGGTGTTTCTGTGGAAGGAAGGGTCAACAGCCATCCCTTGAAGACAGGAGACGCACAGCTGTGAGCCAATGAGGCTTTGCAGTGAGCACTGGCTTTCCAGAGCCGTACCTACCGTGGGAGCTCAGCTTCTGTCCTGGGTTGTGTGGGTCGAGGGGAAGGGTGGTCTCTCTGCGAAGTTGGGTGGTATGACTTTTATATATATATGACTTTATCAGCAGTGATGCGATTATTTTGCGTATGAACAGCGTTTTCTGAGTTTTAATTATAGGTGGAAAATAGTATGATTTTGAGGGCTGGCGCCACGGCTCAATAGGCTAATCCTCCGCCTTGTGGCGCCGGCACACCGGGTTCTAGTCCTGGTCAGGGCGCCGGATTCTGTCCCGGTTGCCCCTCTTCCAGGCCAGCTCTCTGCTGTGGCCAGGGAGTGCAGTGGAGGATGGCCCAGGTGCTTGGGCCCTGCACCCGCATGGGAGACCAGGAGAAGCACCTGGCTCCTGGCTTCAGATCAGCGAGATGCACTGGCTGCAGTGGCCATTGGGGGATGAACCAACGGCAAAGGAAGACCTTTCTCTCTGTCTCTCTCTCTCTCTCTCACTGTCCACTCTGCCTGTCCGGAAAAAAAAAAAAAAGTATGATTTTGACATGTCTAGAAGAAATTGTACTAGTAAAGGTTATAGTAGATTTTACCCTAACAGAACCTTAGGATGTAAGAAACAGATGCCAGTTGTAAAAGGAAAGCATGGCCTTCTGATATTTAACATTTCAGGTTTACAATTGCATAGAGTCTTTGTTTTCTCTCGGATCATTTCAATCACAAAGTTTTGTTTTTGCTTTAAATTATTTGAAAGGCGAGGAGAGAAAGACAGAGGACCCTGTCATCCACTGTTTTACTCTGCAGATGCCTACAGCAGGCAGGGACTGAAGCTTGGAGGCTGGAACTCAGTTCGTGTTCTGCACACGGACAGCAGGAACTCAGTTCCTTGAGCCGTCACCACTGCCTCCCAGGGTCCGCCTCAGCAGGGACATGGGTGGGAGCCGGTGCCGGGGGCTCTGACACAGGGGGCGGGCGTCTTTGCTGGCATCCTAACTGCTATGCCAAACACCTGCCCTGCATTTTCACTTTTGAATACAGCTAAAGTCATGGCACAACTTCTACCCTGTAGTCCAAAGTAGCTTAATATGCTTTTCAATGCTAGTATGAAAAAGTATGATGGAAGTAAAAGAACTTGTGTTCAAATAATCGACAGGTGATGATGATGATGGGCATTAATGTTTCCCCAAAGAGCCTGGGTGGGGCTGGGTGTCACAGCTTGTGCCACAGAGCATATTGTGCAAAACTGTTGAATTTATGTAGACTGGAACAGCAGGAATGGCGGGTTTCCTTATGCTCAGACACATCAAATGACTTTATAAGAATTATAGCTTAAAATGTCTTCACAGCTGTCTGTGTTAACATCAGTTGGTCTAATAAAATAAGCTCACTATTAGGCATCTAAGGTTGAACCCAAGAATCCTCTAGATTTGTTTATTTTTTTAAAACTTGATAATTGGCCCACCACTTCCACAAGGAGGCTCAAAATTATGGTTTCTAGGGTTTTTATATCAACATTTTTTATGTTACTCTTTGCATCAAAAGTAAAAAAAAAGTGAGTTACTTTATAAACATAATCCTTATTTTGAATTTACTTGTTTTTATAATTTTCCTTTTAAAAGGAGTGTATGTTATTGGGGAGAAAAAGATAGATATATGAGGGTACTTTATTTTACTTAACACATATAAATTTCAAAAGTACAACTTTTGGATTATAGCGGCTTTTCTCCCCATAACCTCCCTCCCACCCGCAACCATCCCATCTCCCACTCTATATGAGGGTACTTTAAAAAGTTAATGGATGGCCGGTGCCATGGCTCAATAGGCTAATCCTCCACCTGCGGCACCGGCATCCTGGGTTCTAGTCCCGGTTGGGGTGCCGGATTCTGTCCCGGTTGCTCCTCTTCCAGTCCAGCTCTCTGCTGTGGCCCAGGAAGGCAGTGGAGGATGGCCCAGGTCCTTGGGCCCTGCACCCGCATGGGAGACCAGGAGGAAGCACCTGGCTCCTGGCTTCGGATCAGCGCAGCACGCTGGCTGCAATGTGCTGGCCGTAGCAGCCACTTGGGGGGTGAACCGACAGAAGGAAGACCTTTCTCCCTGTCTCTCACTGTCTAACTCTGCTTGTCAAAATAAATAAATAAATAAATAAATGAATGAAAGCTAATGGACAATGCAGTTTTATTTTGGTGCAAAAAATTTTGAAAGCCACGTAGTTTGCCCGTTCTTCCTTCCTTCCTTAAAAAAGATTTATTTTACTTATTTAAAAGGCAGAGTTAGAGAGAAGGGGGAGGTACAGACACAGAGACAGAGATCTTCCATCTGCTGGTTCACTCCTCAGAGAGCTGCAGTGGCCAGGGCTGGGCCAGGGTGAAGGCAGGAGCCTGAACTCCATCCTGGTCTCCCACGTGGATGTCAGAAACCCAAGTACTTGGACCATTATCAGCTGCCTTCCTGGCACATTAGCAGGAAGCTGGGTCAGAAGCAGATTAGCCAGGACTTGAACTGGCACTCCGATACGGGGTGCAGGCATCGCAAACAGTAGCTCAACCTGCTGCACCCCAGTGCCCACCCCAGCGTGCAGCTTTGAGGTCTTTTGGAACAGGCCTCCCTACCCTAAGTGGTTGTTGTAGGCGTTGATGATGTATGTGTCTCACATCACTCTGAAGCTGAAGAGGTCGGTGCCTGTGGACTAAAGCACAAGTAACCAGCAGAAGTGGGGGTAAAGCCTTGATCTTGGCCTGACCTCTGGCTGTGACTTTAATTCTGTCACTGTAGAGAGAATTGCGGGGGCTCGAGGGGTGTCCCACGGGCAGTGCAGCTGCTTCTTGATTCCCGGGGCCAGTGTCATCCGTGTGCCCTCTGCAAGCAGGCAGAATCAGGTGGTGACATCTCTTATTAGAGCCTTTGGGAAAGGCTTGGGTCACTGCAGAGGCCTGAAGAGCAATGACTGTGCTAAGGAAAGGGGGAAGGGACCCCCGTCTCCCTGCATCCGTTCTCTCTGAGCCCCGCAGCTCACTCACGGTCCTTTGGTTTGTTCCTTCAGAGTGGGCGTCAGCTCAGTGGCCCTGCCACCCACACTCCTGTCTCTCACTCCTTGGTACTCTCTTCCCTCCACACAGTCCTCTGTCTGCGCCAAGATCGTGCAGCTCCTGGGCCAGAACGAGGTGGACTATCGCCAGAAGCAGGTGGTCATCCTGAGTCAGGACAGCTTCTACCGCGTCCTCACGTCCGAGCAGAAGGCCAAGGCCCTCAAGGGCCAGTTCAACTTTGATCACCCGGGTGAGTCAGGGTTTAAAGGGACGAGTGGTGTGTGTGTGTGTGTGTGTGTGTGCATGCGCGCGCACATGTGTGTATAAGAGAAACAGAGGGAGAGAAGAGAACATGCGTGAGCTTGTTTGGGAGTGGTGGGTTGGGGGCAGTTTTCTTGTCCTTCTCACGAGGAAGTGTATACCATAGGGGCCTAATAACCACCTGTCAGGGCCATGCTGGGGCTTGTGGGAGAAGGGATTTTGAAACGCTCCCTTGTAGCCCTTGGCTCATATCTGGCTGAGTCTGAACATGGTGACTGTCTATGAGCCACAGACAGAGCACACATGCTGGTCCTTGCACCCACTCTGATCTGAGGCAGCCTCTGCTCCCTGGTGTGGGTGCACCCAGTGGGTGGGTTCAGCCCAGCGGCTGGCAGGAAGAGATGGCGAGTTTGGGTGCTGCCTGAACGAGTTTGTCCTGGCCGCCCCGATCGGCACTCCTTGCTCTGGTTTGGGTTTCTCATGGTGGTTCGGCGTGGTGCCCGTGGAACATACCCCACCGGCTGTGAGTCAACTTTCCAGGCTGGCAGATACCAATCTCAGGACAGCAGCTGAACCTAGAGGCGAGAGAGAGAGCCGCCTGAGGCCGGGGGCAAGGGTGGCCAAGAAGGAGAGGCGAAATCTGGCCAGAGCTTGGCTCCTCTAGTTCGAGGCGCATGGCGGGGGTGAGGGGTGGGGGCAGGACAGCAGGAGAGATCGTTTTAAAGCTGAGAAGCGTTGGTAACAGAGTGCTTCTCCTTCAGATGCCTTTGACAACGAACTCATCTTCAAGACACTCAAAGAAATCACAGAAGGGAAAACGGTCCAGATCCCTGTGTACGACTTTGTGTCCCATTCCCGGTAGGTAGACGGTTCTGGACTGGGTTGTATCGCTTGCAACCCAGAGTGTCCCCCTTGGTGTGCGCTGGGCCTGCTTCCCCACTCAGGACACTTGGGGCCTCTGCCCTGGCCCTGCTCGAAGCCCCTGCAGCAGCGGGTGGCAGAGCAGTGGCTACGCCGTGGGTTGCACCCTTGGCACGTTCACCTAGGCTCTTCCTGGAACTGTCCAGCCGTCCTGTCTCATTAACGCTGAAGGAAGAGATCACGACTGGGGCTTGGGTGAGGAACTGCACCAAGCTTGTTCTGATCAACACCCCTGAGCTGTTGTTCCTGGAACACACGAGGAGGAGGGGTGGAGGGAAGGTCAGGAAGAACAACAAAGAAAACAGTTTTTTCTGCTCTCCTGGGTGAGCCGGGCTTGGACCGAGGTGGAGAGGTGTGAGGGTGTGCTCCCAGAATTCACGATCCCTCCAGGAAGCATGCCGATCCCATCACGCCAGCCCTCTGAAGGGAAGCCTCTGTTTCCGTGACCCTGAGTAGGAACAGAGTCATGGCTTAACCCGTCACACCCCAGCACCAGCCCCTATAGCAACCTGTTGAGAGCAGACAGAGCCGGACCCAAGCAGACGCTCCCTCTTGGAGCCATTGCTTATCCATTTATGGAATTTCTCGTCCCCACCTGCCTTGGGGTGCAGATAAGGGCGGCTGCCCCCAGGGACCTGTGTCCTGACCTGTGACCACTGTGCTGGCTTGGGGTACAGTCAGATCAGATAGAACTCGGGACCTGACTTCTGCACAGACGCTTCTGGTCTGTCTCCTCTTGTTCTAAGCCTTGTGTCCTCCTCTCCTCTGTCCCGGTCTCTGTTCTTTCTTCCCCCTTTCATTTGCCTCAGGACCTGGGGGAGGGATGGGGCTGCTGAGAGAAAATCGAGCCTCTGTGTTTCAAAGTTCACGCTGCGAGGTTCCACAGATGCCTGGCGCAGGGCATTCCTCAGGACGCCCCCGGAGAAGCGAGAAGTGGCGTCTGCTGTTGTCTGTCTGTGTTCTGAGGCCCACAGCAGGTTTTTTTTTTTATTCTTGTGAAAAGGATGTCTGCCCTCTCTGCTTTGTGGCGAGAGCCCAGGAGAGCTGGTCAAAGGAGCCCCTTGTCCTCGCCGTGAACACTTCCTCTTGGCTCCTGGGTGGCGTGGAGGGCTCTTCTGTAAGGCCGTGGGAGCCATGCTCCTCGACCCCTGCGTCGGCCCAGCCTGCCCTCATGTGCCCTCTGCCTGCAGGAAGGAGGAGACGGTTACTGTCTACCCCGCCGACGTGGTGCTCTTCGAAGGGATCCTGGCCTTCTACTCGCAGGAGGTCCGAGACCTGTTCCAGATGAAGCTTTTTGTGGACACAGACGCCGACACCCGGCTGTCCCGCAGAGGTGTGTTCTTCAAGGCTGTAGATGGCTGTCTGGGATGGGGTGGGGGTCAGGAGCCTGTGGCGGGCCCTGAGCCTGAAGCATGTGCCTCGCCTGGGGCAGCTGTGTGGCCCAGCCCAGCTGCGTCTGTCCAGCCCCAGGATATCCTCCTGCCCAGACTTCGGTGACATTTGAGAAGGGATTAGTCACTTACTGTTTTGGATAACGAAAGGCCTGTGAGGTCACTGAGACAAAATAAGAAGTTGACATTCTGGTTTTGCTGGGAAAAAGTGTGGTGCGATGCCCGTGATGCCTGTGAGTTCCAGCCCCTCCCCGCCCCCTTTGCAAGGCATCGAAACCAAGATGCCTCGATGATGGGAACTAGCCACAGGGCATCTGGGGACAGGAGCCCGCTGTGCCCGCAGTGCTGGGCAGCTCGCCTTCCCAGCCTGCTTCCCTAGCCCCTTCATCCTGCAGAGAGCTTTGTGGGGCCCTGCTGCCCTTCCCAGGCAGCCCAGCAGCCCTGTTCCCTCATCAGGCTTTGCTGAGTGAGTGTCTGCACCCTGCTGAGCCTGTACCTGGTACGGGAGGCACAGGCGCTCAGGATGGGGAGCTGGCCTGTGATTTAAGCTCTGTAGACACCGAGCAGAGTCTGCTTCCTGCAAGAGACTTCCCGAGGCTTCATGCTGAGAGAGGGTGGGGGTGGGGCGGATGGACACCATCCAAGAAAGCGTATGTCGCAGGTGTAGACAGAAGTGGCTTGTTCTGAGAATGGCAGGTGGCTGGAACGTGCAGAGGATTGTGTTGAGGAGGTGCCAGAAAGTAGGGCAGGGCCAGGCTGTGAGGACGGAGAGTGACTTGGTCTCTCTGGGCAGTTTTGAACTGGGGGAGGCAGATGAAGTGACCACCGCCCTGTGCTGCACCACCATTCTGAGGAGATGTTGAGTAAAGACTGTGGCCGGGGAGTCTGTTTGGAGTCTGTTTTGCTGACCTGGACTGCGGGCTGTCGTGCTGCTGTGTGGGAGATGGAACGTGGGGCCGGGGAGACTTGCAAAGGGTATTAGCAGAGTGAGAATTGACAGGACCCAGCACGGGCGGTTGAGAGGTGGGGTAACTTGTGAGGAATGAAAGGTGACTGAGGTTTCTGGCTCTGCTGTGCCCGGGAGGAGGGAGGCGGGGAACGGCAAGCTTAGCTCCCTATCACAGAACACGTTCCCAGTTTTGTGGGCCCCGGCCAAGAGCCTTCTCCCTCCCGAGGTGGGTGACTTCCGTTTCTTGGTTGGTGAAGCACATCTGTCATCATCCAGGTGCGTGCTGTCGTCACAGGGGCTCATCCTACAGAAGAACCGGCCCTGGGGTTTGCCCCAAGAGCGGTTGTGAGTGAATCGGGGTGGGGACAGGTGGGACCTCGTGGAGGACAAGAGTGGGGGGGGGTTGCTGTGGTGTAGGCCCTGCACAGAGCCTCCTGGAGGCTTTGTGGCACCTCAGGCTTGGGTTTCGTTATAGGGAAGCCAAGAGGAACAGGCCTCTCGGTGGGGAGAAGGTTCTAGATGAGGCAGGATGTGTGGTCACCTTCGAATCAGTGAAGCCCCAGCCTGGCAGTCCCCAGGGTCTGGTTCAGCACCTTTGCCAAGTTAGGGAGGCAGCACAGTGTCTCAGGAGCAGCACATTTTGGAGTCCCGTGAACTGGGCTGAGATCCTTCTTCCTAGGTGTGCGACCTTGGGCAGATGGTGTTCTAACCTCTGTGTGTGTCATTTTCCTGCTGGGCGATCGTAGCCCATGAGTGTTCCTAAGGCAGGTGAGGTGTCAGGTGGAACGGGCATTAGTCAACGAGTGTCTGCCTGGTGGATGAGAGTCTGCTTTGGCTCAAGCCACCCACATCCTCTGATCTGCCACTAGGACAAACCACTAGGTCAGGGCCCCAGGAGCTGGTGCCAGCATTGTCCAGCAGGAGGGCCCAGGGGATTAGAGCCGTATCAGGAGTCGTGGCCATGATGTTGGAAAGTCAGTGAATTGTGGGCCTCTAACTCAAATTGGGGTCATCATGGTGTGAGTTGAATAGAACACTCCCACTTCCTTGTCCTGGGACCCTTAGGAGGAATGGAGGTAATCCCCAAGGTGATGGGGCTGTCCCTGGGGGCTTCTGTGGGCCAGGTCTGCCAGCCCCTGCCTTCCCTAGAGCTTCCTGGCTCGGACCTACTGATTTGCCACCTGCCCACAAGTCACCCCCCCCCCCCCCCATGCCGATCACATGAACCCATTCTCTCTCCACGTAGGACAGGAAACATGCCTGGCATGTGCTTCGGGGGGGAGGGGTGCAGGATGAGGGAGGGGAGTGGGTTAGTCATGAGCAGCTGTTGGGCTTGAGAACATTCCCAAGTTGCTCCAGGATTTCACCCATCTGTCTGTCACCCTCCTGGGCATGAGACCCCCACGTGAGGGGGGAGGGGCCTGAGGAGGCACCCCTCCCTCCCCCTTGTGGTTCAAGGGCCTTGGTTCCCAGCAGTGCCGGCCTCTGCGTCCCTCCTTGCTCGCCCTTGGCTCTGCCCTTGGCCACAGGAACAGGGCGGGGCTGGGGGACTTAGCACAGTGGACGCCTGGTCCCCCCTGCACCATTCTTTGTGCCTGGATCACATAGAATTGGGGCCGTAGTGGCCTTCAGGATGTCCAGTCTGTTCTTTTCCTGTGGGATAGCACGTTTCCTCACCTGGCTTCGGAAGTGAACTGACTTAGCCACTGTGTTTCAGGTCCTTCTAAATGTGCCCTCGTCCTGGGCTGACCAGAAGTTCTGCTGGGTTTAGAAGGGCCTAAGCAGACGTCCAGGCAAGGGCTCTGGGTAGACCAGTAGCTTCCTGCCCTCTGCTTCCTCCTCCGAAAGGGCCTGTCCTGGTCCAGCAGATGAGCTGGGGTCCTAGTGAGGTCAGGGGCAGCTGGCTCTGTGTCTTTGGTTTCCCATTTGTGCCCTGGCCCGGTTCAGACTGCATCTTTGGCTTGGCCCCGTCTCTGGGCTGTGCCTGAGGGGCAGGGCGTTTCAACACAGCCAGCTGGCTGGCCCCATGTCATCCTTGGCTTGAGGAAGGGCCCAAGGCTGTTGGGGAGCAGAGGTGGGCGGTACCCTTGGCTTTTGCGTGTTCCCTCTGTGTGGGCAGCCTGCTGACCCCCATCTGTCTCTTCTCCCCTGCCTGCCCCGTTTCTTCTACGGCACTCTGTCTTGCGGGTGTCTGCGTCCTGCGGGCCCCTCCTGGACCACACCGTCACCTGTCCAGCTGCGCTGCAGGACTCCCTGCTTCACTCTGGGCCTCTCCTGCCTGCCCGAGATCCTGGTTCCTGTGCTGCCACTGTGCTGTGTCAGGGAGCCATAGCTCTGCAGAGGGTGCTGTCATCAGTCATTTCAGAAACGCGTGTGCATGGGTGCTGTGTCCTGGCTTCTGTGCTCCTCTCTCTGTACCCTGCATAATAACTTTAGGAAGAAGGTCCTGCTGTTGCCACTATATTACCACCAAGGTCATGGAGGTTCAAAGGTCACAGAGGAGTTGCTGGGGACAGCATTCACATCCAGGCCAGTTTTCACCCGCAGCAGGTAGTGCTGGAAGCAGAGTCTGGGCTGCTCGACAGATGCCCCGTGAGTCATCTCTTTCCAGGCTTCTGCATGGCCACTCGCTTCTCTCCGGTGACAGAGCAGATAAGGCCACCATGTCTGCCAGACACAGGGAGCCAGGAGCTGGGGCCACGTGAAGGAATGCGGGCGTGCCGGGAGAGTGGCAAAGGCGCCCACGTAGCCAAAGCCATAAGCAGTCGTGTGAAAAGCACATCTCGTAGAACAAACTTGGCATTGGGCGTTGGCAGGGAAGTGAACACTGCCCGTGTATGCGTGTGTGTGTGTGTGTGTGTGTGTGTGCTTTAACCCCAGCCCTGATATCTTCCTGATCTGCTTTCCTTTTTCCCTTGACCTTTTTCTGGAAACGTGTGAAGAGCAGGAGGCTGCACTCTGTTTTGGCCACGTTGTGCTCATTGGCTATGTGTGCCAGAGCTCGGAGGACTCCTAGGGGCCGGCCACGTGGCAGTTCCTCAGGGCTTCCTCTGGGCTGAGCATTCCCAGCCGATGCCTGTGTTGCAGTGCGGGAGAAGGCCGTTTCCTGGCCAGGCTGGGCTGGGCCAGTAGGAGGGGTTGTGAACAAGCCCTGACACATTAAAGACCAGGCAGCCGTCTTATTACCAGGACGCATGTGCTAAAAATCCACTTCGTAAATGGAGGAGCTGGTTTGAAAGTCAGATGGTGGCGTCATTAGTCCCTGGCTGGCTCCCTGGAACACGGACTCCCCGACGGTTTCCTAGCCTTCTGATCTGAACCCTCGCTGCAGGCTTCCTTCCCTGCCCCTGCGCGTCTGCACATGTGCACCTGTGGTATTTGGAACCACAGCTTTCCAGAAACGAACAGCGATTGCCTGTGTTTGTTGACAGAGAGCTTCACCCCACCCTTGAGTCTGCTAGCTGAGAGGTGGCCGAGGAGGAGCTGAGGGGCCGTTGCCAGTGACTGTGGGCGGATCTGGTAACCTCTGCCGTGGTGATGAAAGACTTGGCAGCTGGGGAACAAGTTGTAAAATGACATCCGGCGGGCGAGGCCATTTTGATCTGAGAGCACCTCCTTCCAGAGTCAGCCCTGAAGGGGAAACCGAGGCTCCCAGGGGTTAATGTGCCATGGCATCATCAGGATTCTGCCCCCTTTATTCCATTTCTTAAGCTCTATTAAAAAAAAAAAAAAAAAAGAAATGTGGGTGAAAAGTCCCTGTATAAAACTGACTGGGGGAAGAAGGAAGAGGAGAGAAGATGGTGACTTAGGGTCTACCTGGGCTTCTCCATGGCTGCAGCCCACAGTTTTCTAGACCTTGGTTTTCTCCTTTTCGTGAACTGCTTTTCCTGTGTGCAAACCTGTGTACGTGAGGGCGGTGGGAACAGCTACCATCCCGGCATGCTCTGCCTCCTCACCGTCTCTCAGGGAGTGTGGGTGGGAGCCAGACGCAGCAGGTTGCTTGACTTGCGAACACAGGTAAGCGCAGAGGACAGGAGGAAGCCCCACCACCTTGCTTCCTGTTAGCGGTGAGTTCTCCGGGGCTGTGCCCACCCCTCTCCCTCTTTTTTGGGGATGACATTGCTTTTTTGTTTGGGTCAGATGTAGAGACAAGAAGGTCGTTGGCTCTGGCCAGGCATTCTTCTTGTTTCAGAGAACATTTTGTCACAGCAGAAATCTGACCATAGTAAACCAAAAAAGAATGTAAACTTGGCTATTTTCTGCAACTGCTGCTGATCAGATCTTGGCCAAGTCTCTCTGGACTCCGGCATGTGAATCACCCATAGCAAACGTGGGGCCTGTGCGGGCCTGGCCTGCCTCACGGGGGGCGGGCATGCTGGCTGACTGTTTTCTCCTTCTCTTACAGTATTAAGGGACATCAGTGAGCGAGGGCGGGACCTGGAGCAGATTCTGTCTCAGTACATCACATTCGTCAAGCCCGCCTTCGAGGAGTTCTGCTTGCCAGTGAGTGGGGTTCTTTGGTTGGTTTCTGCTGACTGTAGAATCTGGAAAAAAATTTTTTGGAAGATTTATTTATTTGAAAGGTGTGGAGTTCCAGAGAGAAATCTTCCATCTGCTGGTTCTCTCCCCAAATGGCCGCAACAGCCAGGATCAGGCCAAGCCAAATCCAGGAGCCAGGAGCTTCTTTTGGGTCTCCCACGTGGGGAGAAGGGGCCCAAGCACTTGGGCCATCCTTTGCTGCTTTCACTTCCAAAGGCGCATTAGCAGGGAGCTGGGTTGGAAGTGGAGCAACTGGGTCTCAAACTGGTACCCACGTGGGATGCCAGTGTTGTAAGCCATTGAGCCATAGTACTTGCCTCCTTGATTTATTTTTTATTTACTTAAAAGGCAGAGTTAGAGAGAGAGAGATAGAGATTTTCCATTTACTGCTTCATTCCCCAAATCCAGGCCTGTGGCATGCTGACGCCAGGAGCCTGGAGCTTCTTCTGGGTCTCTGTTTGGGTACAGGGACCCAAGCACTTGGGCCATCTTCCACTGCTTCTCCAGGCACATTAGCAGGGAGCTTGATCGGAAGTGGAGCAGCTGGGTCTCAAACTGGTGCCCATATGGGATGTTGGCGTTGCAGGCAGCAGCCTTACCCATTACGCTGGAACACCAGCCCAGAATCTGGAACTCAGGAAAGCACGCAGAGATATTTGAGTAACTCTCACTGCTCACATGAGAGGGCAGCCTGGGTGCCTTGAGCTCTGCCGTTGTGTCTCCAGGCAGCCCTTTTAGGGTGGAGCCAGTCCTTGGGCTGCCATTTTGATTCCCAGCAAGTCCTACACATTTTTGTGTGGTGGGGTTGTGGTGTGGGACCCTCAGTTCAGGCTGTGTCCTACCTCATGATGGCTCTTAGAGGAGCTGTGTTCAAACCTGTCGGGCCCCCAGAGAAGTCTCAGCAGGGATAAGCTTCCTGACAATGCCCTGGCATAGACTTCAGGTCCTCCTCGTAGTCCTCCGCATGGTGGTGGCTGGGAATTCTCTACATAGGTACCTTTCGGAGAAGGAAGTAGGGAGTGAGGGTGGAGTCCTCAGCCCAGGAGACACCATCTACCTCTCGGGTTGGGCAGGGGTGGGGGAGGGGTGGCACAGAAAGGTAGAAGTCACGGGAAGTGGGGGAGATGGTTTAGTCTGGGGAGGAGGAGAATCCTACACCCGAGTCATGGTGCCTTCTCCAGCTTGGCCACACCGTGATCAGACTCCTCAATTATTGATAATTAAGCTCCAAAGTGGGTGGAAGGCAGGGAGGGAGAGGTTGGGACTTGATCTCGTCTTGGGTAAGGTCTTCTGGGGCGCCTACCATCTGGGAAGGCCTTGAAACGGGTTTAGAGTAAAGCTAGGTTTGGGGATTTTTCTGTTTAACAATTAACTTTTTCTCCTTCTCTCCTGGAAATGTGTTCTAAACCTGTCATTATTTCTTTACATCAAACCAGACTTCTGTTTCAGATCAAGGACAGGTGGACTTTCTGAGTTAGCTGAGTAACCTTGAGGCCCTATTCATTGCCTTGGAGACGGTTAGGTTACAAGATTAGGTTTCTGGGAAGAGGACAGAGTATGCCAAGGAGCTAGGAGATCCTTTCCTGTTTTCTTTTTTTAAAAGAAAAATTTTAAAAAAAGATTTGAGAGGTAGAATTACAGACAGAGAGGGAGAGACAGAAAAGTCTTCCATCCACTGGTTCACTCCCCAAATGGTCGCAATGGGCAGAGCTGGGCCGATATGAAGCCAGGAGCCAGGAGCTTCTTCCAGGTCTCCCACACTGGTGCAGGGGCCCAAACACTTGGGCCATCTTCCACTGCCTTCCCAGGCCATAGCAGAGAGTTGGATCAGAAGAGGAGCACAAACTGTGGCCCATATGGGATACCGGCGCTGCAGGCAGAGGCTTAGCCTACTACACCACAGCGCCAGGCCCATCATCTCCTCTTTTCCATCATCCATTTCTCTCCTGAGAATCGTCCTGCTCTAACTTAATAACAGAAATTAGTTTATTATTGGACAGTGAGTTAAGATGATCGCCAGTTTCTTGCCATTTGACTTAGTTGTAATGCAGCTCAAAGTTACAGACAGGTACTTCCTGGGCTGCTTTTGTTGATCCCACTGTCCAGCTGCTCCCTGCTCAGGGAGGACCAGCACATTGCTTTGCAAGTCCAGAAGCCAGACCTGATGTACACCTGCTTTGTTTAGGTTGGATTTGGGCCTGCTGCAGCTGCATTCAACAGCATCAGCATGGAAGCTGCCTGGGGGAAGAGGGGCTTGCGCTGGTCATTACTAGGGTGTTGTTTGCTCTTAGGCTTAACTGAGCTCATATGCCAGGACATGGGTCCTTGTAAAACGGCCCACAAAATCTCAGCAAGGTCAATAAAAGCAAAAGAAATGGGTCTAGCTATTGGTGCCCCCCCTCCCCTTTTAAAATCTTTACATTGTATAATAGCAGCCAGTGGCACTGGCCATGGGTGGGGATTACTTTCCTGGCTTTGTCCTTGCACCTAGGGGTCAGTGGTGCCACCTCTTAACCCCGAGCATAAAAGGCCAAGGTGAACTGCTCCCTTTTCACGTTTAGGCTTCTCTAACTGATGTTTTTCTTAGTGGCAAAGATGCAAGTATGTACTTGGTTTCAAAGACCGTGTCCTCTGTATCGGTTACTATCAGAGACATCACTAACAAGAACTTAAGCAAAAGCTGATTTATTATCATTCAAAGTAGATAAAAATTTGAGGTAGATAATTAAAATGTCAAATTATTAATTGGTTTTGAATGAGCCACCCAATCGGATCATTTCACATTCACGGGAACATAGAAGTCCTCATTCCTTGTGCCTTATTCTCTGCCTCCCTTCTCCCATCATGCTGCAGCTAAATAAGGCCTTTGTCGGGGGCCCCCAAATCTCTAGGTGTGCCTCGGCCATGAAGTGGTGCACAGGATCCTATTGGACGCCTCTTGCTGTGCCCTCTGGGGTTGGTAGTGGAAGGCTGGCCCTTTCCCGTGTTCCCTTGGAGGGGGAGCTCGGGCCAGTTTAACCTCTGAATAGTCCCACTGATGTCTTGGAAATCTTTTTCTCCACAGACAAAGAAATACGCCGATGTGATCATTCCTAGAGGTGCAGATAATCTCGGTGAGTCCGGGCCGGGCGCCGTGCTTGGGTGTGAAACCTGTGCCCTTTGGTTAGGCGTACTGTGGGGCAAGATGTGCGGTGACCACGGCAGGGCCCTGCAGGCATGTGTGTGCCACTAGCCTGAAGCTGTGAGCAGAACAGTTCTGCTGCCTCACGTGGCTGGCCTCATTCAGGATGATTTGCCATCATGCTCATTCACAGCCCCAGTGTAGTCACCCACTCCAGGAAGCTTCCCATTGACAGGATCTTTAAGAGTATAGACCCATTTTTCATTAGAATGGTCCTGCATGTGGACGCATCCTTTGCTTCCTCGCTCTGGGTGTGAGCTGACACGGTCAGGAGGGAGTATGGTGTGTCACATCAGAAAAGGCTGGGTGCTTCCTCCTTATTTGGAGATGTTGGCATTGATCAGTTGATTGAGGTGCAGAATTTATTTCCAAGGCTAATAACAGATCTCCATCCTGCATTTGTGGTGGAGGGAGAGAAGGGCTTTCCATGGGCGGCTGGTGGAAGGGTCTCCGGACTTCTGCGGTCAGGACCATGGGCAGGCCTCAGGTCGGCAGTACCTTGCTTGATTGCTTCCTCCAGTGGTGACTCTTGACCATCTGCTGCTAAGAAGCCCCTTCATGAAGGGCTGCCTGAATGCCAGGCATTGTCTGCCTTGTTCCTTTGCACTCTGCTGTGAGAGGTTGCTGCCCCGTCACAGGCCCCGGAAGGTTGAATGATTTGGCCGCTAGGGCTGGAGCCACCTCCCTGGAAGTCTGCCTCTGGTTCCTGTGTGTCCTTTCACCCAGACAGACCTGAGTGTGCCCACAGCCCTGCACGAGCTCTCGTCCCTCCCTCCTTTCCTAATGCTTCTGGTCTCTGCCCCACAGTGGCCATCAACCTCATCGTTCAACACATCCAGGACATCCTCAACGGAGGGCTTTCCAAAAGGCAGACCAACGGCTATCTCAACGGCTACACCCCTTCACGCAAGAGGCAGGCATCAGAGTCCAGCAGCCGGCCGCATTGACCCCTGCCTCCTTCAGACCCCGGCCCCTATCTCCAGGAGACAGAGGAGGGGTCAGGAGGCACCATCCATCTGTACATATCGTTTCCTATGACATTACTGTATTTAAGAAAACACCACGGAGAGGAAATGCCTTTGATTTTTTTTTTTTTTCTTTTTGTACTTTGGAACGGCGAAATGAAAACAGAACTTGACCCTGAGCTTAAATGACAAACTGTGCCAACTACTACTGGTGATGCCTAATTATGAATCCAACGTGTAACCAGTTATAAATACATATATATATATATAAAAGGATCTATTTTTGTGTAAATGTACAAATACTGTAAAGCTGTTTGCCGTAAGTATTTTGCAGGAGGGCCTGTACTGAGTGTTTGGGGTCGGGAGCTGGAGTTCCTCCAAGGGGAAATGGCCTCATGTGTTCTAGGTGGGACAGGCTCGGGCACCTGTGGGGTGCGTGGAGGGAGGAGGCTGGCTAGCGCCTGGCTGCCCTGACAACCTCCAGAATGGGGTTTGAAACCCTTTCCGTGTTACCTCCCTCCCTCCTTGCCCCCAAGTAGAGCTGGAGCGTAGTGACAGATGGGTGACACTCCTATCTTTTTTTTTTTTTTTTTTTTTTGAGTTGAAATGAGTTAAGATTTCAACTCAAAAGTCAAACTCAGGGAAGAGGCCCACTGCGGAGAGCCTGAGCCTGCCTCCGGCTGCCGGGGTGGCCCTGTGACGCCCTCCTTGCTGCTTCTCGGAACCTTCGAGAAGCCAGAGTGGCCCATCCTGCCCGGTCAGGGAACTTACGCAGGACTCAACTTCATGAACGCAGTGAGGAAGGAAGGCGCGGAACCGTGCCTCCTGCGGCGTCCGGGGCAGCGCCGGCTCTTTCGGCTTCCCAGAAGTGACTGGTCACATCCCTTGCGCGTTTTCCTGCATTGCCAGGCGCACGGCGGCCCCTTGGTGGCGGACTCGCGCTCACAGGGTGGCGTTGCTGGTGTGTGGTGGTGGTGATGGTGGGCGGTCGTTTTTGTTCACTGTGACCGCTAGGGTAGTGGGCAGGCATCTTTCCCCCACCACGGTGGCCGTCTGCGGCGGTTCATATCCAGTGCGGCCCAGCGAACTTGGCGTTGCTGACCAGGAGGGGCCTGGGGGTGGCGGAAGCCGCTTTCCGGAAGTGTTTAAAAGCAAGGCTTGTAAATCACAGGCACCTGTGTCGGAGTCTTAGATTGAGAACATCCTGGGCCGAAGCTCATTGTCTGAAAGGAGTGCGATTCCCGACCTTGTGGGTGCGGGGGTGGAGGAGAAGGGAGACCAGACAGGAGGGGGACTTGAGCATCGTTAACCTCTCGGTTTCCGCATCTGTATTCCTAGTGCCTGGTGGGCCACGCCCTCGGCGGCTGCTGCTCGGCCGTTGGCGGACGCCCTTGGAGACCCTCCTGTAGCCCTCAGAGCCCCGGCCGAGCCGTTTTCAGTTAAACCCGACTCCGTTACTCTGTAGCCCACGCCGAATCTCCCACTTCGGACTCGGAGCCGTCCAGGCCGCCCGAGTCTTCGTTTTTCTGGACTTAAAATTGGGGCTTCAGATCTGTTTGGCTATTAAAAACGAAAAGTCAAACCTAGTCCCCGAGAGAGCTCAGGAGACGGCACCGCCGGCCTTGAAGGGAGAGCGTGGTGGTGCCAACCGTGACCTTGGAGCGGGGATGGCTGCCCCTGTGCGCTCGTGGGACTGGCGCGTTCCAGCCTCAGCGTCTGTTCTCTCCGTAGTGTGCCTCGCACGGTTCTGGGGTGCAGGGTGGACGGCAGGCCTGGGTCAGGATCCTGAGGACGCAAGGGCTGCCGGTCTGTGCTAGGGGAAACCTCGGCCGTTCAGTGGGTAGGGCGCTCAACTTTACTTGAAGAAGCTCCCAGGTGCCAAACCATTTAGTGCCTTGGCTGTCTATCCCACTGCCTTGGAAGAGGGTTCTTCTCATCTCTGAGCCTTGACTCACTTAAGCTGCTTCCTTATTGACTTGTGGTGTTGGGACCAAGCCTCCAGAATGAGCAGCCCCCCCTCCACTGCCCTGCCTCTGCTAACGTGGCCACTGGAGCGTGGCTGGGACACACCGTGCCCGGGGCCAAAAAGGGCTGGGAAGCTCTGCCCCACTCTGTGGCTGCTCTGCCTGTATCCGTTCATATATCTGAACTTGAGCTTATCATAGGACAGGTTGTGGTCTTCATTCTTTTTTTAATCTCTGATTCTATTGGAGAATTAGACCTCCTAGAATGGAGCCATGGCTGTGGCATCTGTCATCTGGGTCCTCTCTGCTCTTCAGGGAGAGGCACAGAGGAGCAGAGTGGGGTGAGGTTGCTCACAGGGGGCATGGGAGTCCCTTGGCTTCACAGCCACCCAACGGTGCTTGCTTCCCCTTCCCTGGGTGGGTGCTTCCACTTCCACGGGTGTTGTCTGTGGACCACGCCCTGTGTCCAGGGAAGGCTCGGCCTCATACTCTGTCATACCAATGGAACTTCTGCTGTCCTGAGTTCCTGCTAGGGTGGGCTGAGACCAGCATGGCTGGAGAGACAGGGTCTGAAGATGAAAATTCTGTGACTTCCAAGATTCCTTTGGTTTGTAGTGGACAGGGCGGACTGTTGAAGAGGTGGCGGGGTGCAACACCAGGACCTCCAACAGAAAGGGCAGGGCAGCCTCCAGGCTACCTCCCCCAAGGACGACCTTAAATCACCTCTGCTTCTGCCCTTGGCCTGCAGCGGGGAGGGGTGCTGGCTCCTGCCTCTCCTGTACTTGGAACTCGATATTTGTCACTGTGCCTGAACGGGTTGCCTGCTTCTGGAGCCACCAGGGCAAGCCAGAGGCTTGTGTGCTCCTCGGAGCAGTTGGGAAGCGGAGGGACTCCAGCAGGGTTGGATCGTGCCTGACTTCCCTTGCTACCCTCTGTGGTGCAGTTTCCTGTTAGCAACCTTGACCTTGTGCTGGCACCCAAGGCTGCAGAAAGGAAGTAGCCTCTTGCAGGCAGGTATTTCCCTCTGCCCCAGGGGTCTCCCGTGTGCTGGGCTGCTTTTGGCAAGGCCAGGGTAGGTTTTGGGGTGCAGGGCTGTGCTTCTGGGAAAGACCAGCTGGACTTCGGCCACCCTGGTCTGTCACATTCGGCTCAGGGTGGAGTCGGGGCAACATTCTTGGTGTCAAAGTGAGGGAAAGGGGTTGGGAAAGGCACGGTTGGGACGTAGTTGGAGCTCCAAGTCCCCTTAAATCACACATTGTGGGGCCTTCTTTTGCCCTCGCTGGGCCAGGCGGCTGGTCTTTCCCACACACTGGAGGCAGCGAGTGCCCACCTGGTCCTGCCTCAGGACAGGGTTAGTAGCTACATACAGGCTTAGACATTTGTTTTCCTTGGAGATGCTTGCTCTGGCTCCTTTTCTTTTTACCGCCTCACCTTTATTGTTAGCAGTTACAGAAGTGGCCACGTATTATGTACTTTGCTGTCAATAAAGACTGAACAAATGTGACCCAACTTCCGCCTGCTTTGTGGTGCTTGGTCTGGAGCAGCGCCCCAGGGTAAGGGGCGGGTGTGCTGAGCCTCGCAGGTGCAGATGTGGGGGTCACCCAGCCTGCTGCGGCTAAGCCTGTCAAACCTGGAGTATAAGTGGGTAGACCCCAGACTTCAGCTGGGCTTACAGAGTGGACTTGTATTTCTCTTAAGCAGGAAGCCTGGGCCAAAGTTTCTGTGAGGTCTTGGTTCTTGGGACTTTCTGGCTCGGTGTCCTCTCATATCACCCAGCTTATGCATCCCCCTCCCACCTCTTTCCCTGAGCCAGTTACCCAGCCCATTGCTGCCCTTTGATGTTAAAAGTGAAAACTAGGGGCCCAACACTGTGGCATAGTCTAAGCCTCTGCTGTACTGACATCCCATATGGGCTCCATTTCATGTCCTGGCTGCTCCTCTTCCAATCCAGCTCTCTGCTTATGGCCTGAGAAAGCAGTGGAAGATGGCTTGAGTGCTTGGGCCTCTCTACCCAGGTTGCAGACCCTGGAGGAAGCTCCTGGCTCCTGGCTGTGGATTGGCCTACCTCTGGGGAATGAGCCATCAGATGGAAGACCTCTCTCTATCCCTGTCTCTCTCTCTGGCTCTGCCTCTCAAATAGATAGATAAATCTTAAAAAAAAAAAAAAATAGTAAAACCAAAATTTTCCAAGTGAAGTAGACCTTTGAGTGGGGTGGGCAGTGGCAAAAGGAATGTTTACAGTTTTTCAGAGCAAACAAGGCCAAGTTGGAGCCATAAACAGCTGTGTGCTCTGGAATGAGTATCTATGTCCCTGTTTTGCAAAGACCTAGGTCATCCACCCAGGATTTAAAAATGATTGGCTTTTGTGCTCATGGTAGCATCCAGCCCCTGCCAGCTGTCCCCCTCTTTCCCAACTCCCCTTTTGTCCCAAAAGACCCTCACCAGTGAGCAGAGCTGAGCAGCTCTTTCAAGCCACTTGTTGCTTTTGGACAGTTGCAATCCCATCTGGGCACTGAGCAGCTTTTTCATCAGGATCCATCCTTAGGAGGCTGCTGGGTGTTTCAAATAACTCCTCGGTGCCGCCACAAGAGTGGCTGTTAGCAGGCAGCACTGCCATCCCCTGGCTTGTGCTTGATGCCATGTAGTAGCAGTGGAGCAAACTCATGCTTATCTGGGCTGCTGTTTCCTCACTCAGCGTCCCACTGTCCCTGTGGGCCACCCCTGGACTCACGCTTTGCTCCGTTGCCATTGGAGGGACGGCGGTGCAGGCTGGCAAAGCCCTCAGGGACGTGTGCTTGGTGACAACGCCCTCTGAGCCAGCTTTCTGCTGCACAGCCAGGAGACACCTGTTTAACCAGTGCTGTTTTAATCAAGCTGTGAATGAGGTGATTAACAGAAGCCTGTTAGAACCTGCTTCAAGATTTTAGAGCGGTGGAGAAGGAGAGACTTGATGTGGGGAAGTCTGCTTGGAGCGGAAGTGCCCGGAGATGGTTTTCTATCTGTTCTCGCTGAGGGGTATTTAGAGTTCTGTTTTAAACCAGAACTTAATTAAATGATCTACTTAGAATTTAAGAATTTAACAAATTAAATAAAAAAAAATTAAACCCAGAATGAAGAATGAAAGGTATACAGAGGTGGAGGGATCTTTCATCTAGTGATTCATTCCCCAAATGTCACAACTGGGGCTGGACCAGTCCGAAGCCAGGAGACTGGCACTCAGTCTAGCTCTCCTATGTGGGTGGCAGGGACCCCTTCTCCTTGAGCCATCACCTGCTGCTTCCCAGTGTGCACATTAGCAGGAAGCTGGAGTGGAAAGCAGAGCTGGGACTTGAACCCAGGCACTTCGATATGGGACTAGGCATCCCAAAAGGCATATTAGTCAGATAATTTCTAAACCCAGAATGGCATAAGTCTACTTGCTGGATTTTCTTTTATTTCAAGTTGGGTTATCTGACTGGCAGAATGAGACCCCCCTGCACACACACAGATAACTTTCACCTGCTGGTTTACTCCCTAAAGGTCCATAACAGCCAAGGCTGGGACTTGGCTGAAACCAGGACTCAAGAACTCCATCTGGGTTACCCACATAGGTGGCAGGAACTCAAGTACTTGCGCCGGCACTGTGGCTCAATAGGCTAATCCTCCGCCTTGCGGCGCCAGCACACCGGGTTCTAGTCCCGGTCGGGGCGCCGGATTCTGTCCTGGTTGCCCCCCTTCCAGGCCAGCTCTCTGCTATGGCCCGGGAGTGCAGTGGAGGATGGCCCAAGTACTTGGGCCCTGCACCCGCATGGGAGACCAGGAAAAGCACCTGGCTCCTGCCTTCGGATCAGCGCGATGCACCAGCCGCAGCGCGCCGGCCACGGCGGCCATTGGAGGGTGAACCAACGACAAAGGAAGACCTTTCTCTCTCTCTCTCTCTCTCACTGTCCACTCTGCCTGTAAAAAAAAAAAAAATAAAATAAATAAATAAATAAATAAATTCAAGTACTTGGCCTATTGTCTGTGGCCTCACATGTGCTTTAGCAGGAAGAGCTGGACTGAAAGTGGAGTTGCCAGGATGCAAAACCAGCACTCAGATATGGAATGCTGGAGTCCCAACTAGCAGCTTAACCTGCTGTGTCACAAAGCCTGCCCCAGTCGCTGGATTTCAAACTATGCCTATGTATGTGCTTATATGTGTCTTCAATAAACCATGGGCTAAACTAAAGCAGCCAAGTGAATCAATGTGAGTTAGAAAAATCCAGTCATATTTTCAGTTAATGGATTGGTGGCAAGGGGCAGGAAAACCTGGATTGTGCCTTACCACATGCATTTTTTTTTTTTAATTTATTTTATTTGAAAGGTAGAGTTGCAGAGAGGCAGAGGAGACAGAGAGAAGTCTTCTATCCAGTGGTTCACTCCCCAAGTGGCCGCAACAGCCGGAGCTGTGTCGATCTGAAGCTAAGAGCTTCTTCCAGGACTTCCACGCAGATGCAGGGGCCCAAAGATTTGGGCCATCTTCTACTGTTTTTTTCCAGGCCATAGTAGAGAGAGAGCTGGATTGGAAGTGGAGCAGCCAGGATTTGAACTGGTTCCCATATGGGATGCTGGCACTGCAGGCAGAGGCTTTACCCACTACGCCACAGCACCGGCTTCAACCATGTGCAATTTTCATACAGCCAAGTCGAGGAATGGATTTGTCTTACACTGAGGATTGGTTTCAACTGGATTTGATGGCACCTACAATGTTTTGCTCTGAGTGAAGATGGCCTGGGTGCACTGAGCTCTGACTGTCCTGGTCCAGGTGTCCAGATGGACTTCTTCCTCTGTTAGTGCCATATGTAGTTTACCTTTTGTTTCTGACTTTTCAACTTCATTGTAGTCTTCACATTTGACTTTTAAAAAATATTTGTTTATTTAATGGAGTTACAGAGAAGGAGAGGGAGAGAGACATAGATATTCCATCCACTGGTTCACTTCCCAGATGGCTGCAATAGCCAGCGTTAGGCCAGGCTGAAACCAGGAGCCGGGCACTTCATCCGGGTCTCCCACGTGGGTGCAGGGGCCCAAGCACTTGGGCCGTCCTCTGCTGCTCTCCCAGGCGCATTAGCAGGGATCTGGATCTGAAGTGGAGCAGCCGGGTCTGAACCTTGTCCATCTGGGATGCAGGCATCATCTGCTATGCCACAGCTCTGGCCCCGGCATTTGACTTTCCACATCTTAGTTACACCTTCACTTTGCTTCATTTTATTCTTAAAACAGCCCTGCACAGTGTGAAAGGAATGTGATCATGCTTTGTTTACTGAAGAGGAAACTGCTGAACCCAAATGACTGCCAGGAGTTAGACCAATCCATCTGGTAGCCAGGTTGCTTGGTGTGTGTCTGCCACCTAGTGGTAGGATTCAGATCGCAGCATGTCATTTGCTTAGTCACCGTGCTGTTTCTAAATTGCCCACGTGCCCTTAGAAGTCTAGCTACTAATATGTTACTTATTTATTGATAAGTAGGAAAGCCCTCACTAGGGACGATAGCAGCTGACCCTCTTTCTGCATTGCTACAAATCATTGGAATGATTCCACAAGTTGGCTGTCGTAACCAGTGAAGGACTTACTAAAAAACGTTACTGGGGCAGGGCAGGCCTAGCAATTAAGATACGAGCATCCCACTTTGGAGTCCCTGGGTTCTGTTCCTGGCTCAGGCATCCTGAGAGGCAGCAGGTGATGGTTTGGGTTCCTGCCACTCTCGTGGAAGACAACCAAGATTGAGTTTCCAGCTGCGAGCTCTCAGCCTTGACCTTGGTCCAGCCCCGGCTCTGTGGGCATTTGGGGTATGAACCAGCAGATGCGCTCTGTGTCTTTCTCTCTCTCTTATATAAATAAATTAAATAATCTTAAAAATGACCTGGGTATATCCCCAAGAATTCTGTTTCTGTAGGGGGACAATGTTTTATAACCATGCAGTAGAGCAGACACATTGGGTTGGAAACCAGGGGGCCTTATGCATTTAATCAGGAAGACCATGAAACCTGTGCTGCTGCCAGCATTGAGGGTCCCGCTTCTCCCACTGGGTGCTGTGAAGGCCCTCCCTTCGCTGTTTGGAGACTGAGATGAGGCTGTGAGTGTGTCCTCAAGCCCATTCACTGCTCTCTCAGCGTGTCAGAACCCAGCAGGCCTGGGGCTGTGCCCACCCTGGCAGTCTTCCCGGGATGTCTGCCAGAGCTGGGCAAGCTGTAGACACCCTGCAGGTTGGTGGCCTTCAAGCGCGTCTTAGTCACTGAGCCCCGCGTGGACTCTCACCTGAAGTCTCAGCGTAGGAATCAGAGACGAGAGGGCACATGTTTGGCATGGTGGTTAAGCCGTTGCTTGGGATGTCCACACCCCAGCTCATACTGGAGCGCCTGGTCTCAGTTCCTGTCTCCATTCTCCATTTTCCGTTCCCGTTTCTTATCCTGGGAGGCAAGAGTGATGGCTCAAGTGCTTGGGCCCCTGCCACCCATGTGGGAGACCCCAGCCAGGCCCAGTCCAGGCTGT